ACCACACCCAGGGTGGAGGGGACTCCTCCCTGAAGGGAAAAGACCCCTCTGACCTGGATGTAGCGGGGACCGCCCCACACCTCCGCACCCAGAATAAAGGGACTCCAACCTGCAGGGGAGAGACCCCTCTGACCTGGGTGTCGGGGGTAGTTCCCCAAAAAACCAAATCCAGGGTGGAGGAGACTCTACTCTCCAGGGGGGGAGACCCCACTGACCTGGATATGGCGGGGAACTCCCCACAGAACCCAGGTTTAGAAGTCTACCACCTCGGGGCTGGGGATGTGGCTCAAGTGGTAGCGCGCTCGCCTGGCGTGCGTGCGGCCCGGGTTAGATCCTCAGCACCACATACAAATGAAGATGTTGTGTCCGCCAAAAACTAAAAAAATAAATATTAAAATTCTCTCTCTCTCTCTCTGTGTCTCTCTTTAAAAAAAAAAAAAAAAAAAAAAAAAGTCTACCCCCTCCAGGGAGAAGACGACTCAAACCCCGGTGTCTGGAGAGCTCCCCACCACACCGCACCCAGGATAGAGGGCCCTCCAGACTTCAGGGTGGATACCTCTGCAATCTGGTATTGAGGGGAGCTGGTATCCATTAAATCCAAGGTGGTTGGGACTCCACCATAGGGGGGACTCCTCCTACCTGGGTTTCCAGTGGAGCTTGGTTCTGTCTTACCCAGGGTGGAGGGGACACTCTTCTACAGGAGGCAGTCCCCTCTATCCTTGGTGCGGTGGTGTAGGGAGCGCCCTCCACATACACCCAGGTCAGAGGGTATCTCCCCCCTGGATGGGGGAGTCCCATCTACCCTGGGTGCATGTGTGGGGAGCTCCTCCCCCTGACATCCAGGGTAGAGGTCCCCTCTACCCTGGGCATGGTGGTGTGGGGGAGCTTCCACACACACACATCCAGGAGAGAGGGACCTCCGCCCTGGAGGAAGGAGTCCCCTCTACGCTGAGTGCGGTGATGTACAAAGCTCCCCCCACACACACCCAGGTGACAGGGACCTCCCCCCTGGAGGGGGGAGTCCCATCTTCCTTGGATGCGTTGGTGTATAGAGCTCCCCCCTGACACCCAGGTGAGAGGGACCTTCCCCCTGGAGATGGGGAGTCCCCTCTACCCTGGGTGCAGTGGTGTACAGAGCTCTCCCCCCAGGCAACCAGGTGAGGGGGACTCCCCCCTGGGTGTGATGGTGTAATGAACTCCCCCCCAGACACCCAGGTGAAAGGGACCTCCCCTCTGGAGGGGGGGAGTCTCCTCTATACAGGTTGTGATGGTGTACAGAGCTCCCCACCCCAGACACCCAGATGAGAGAGACCTCCCTTTGGAGGGGGGAGACCCCTCTACCTTAGGTGCAGTGGTGTACAGAGCTCCCCCACACACCCAGGAGAGAGGGACCTCCCACATGGAGGGGGGAGTCCTGTCTACCCTGAGTCTGGTGGTGTGGGGGAGCTCCCCTCACACCCAGGTGAGAGGGACCCCCCCTAGAGGGGGGAGTCCTCTCTACCCTGGGTGCAGTGGTGTACAGAGCTCCCCACCAACCCAGGTGAGAGGGACCTTCACCCTGGAGGGGGGGAGTCCCCTCCAGCCTGGGTGCGATGGTGTACAGATTTCCCCCACAGACACCAGGTGAGAGGGTCCTCCACCCTGCAGGAGGGGAGTCCCCTCTACCTTGGGTGCGATGGTTTACTGAACTGCCTCCACCCAGACACCCAGGTGAGAGGGACCATCCCTCTGGAGGGGGGGAGTCTCCTCTACATGGGTTGCGATGGTATACAGAGCGCCCCCCCCAGACACCCAGGTGAGAGGGACCTCCACCCTGGAGGGGGGAGTCCCCTCTACCCAGGGTGCAGTGAGTTGGGGAGCTCCTCCGGACACCCAGGTTAGAGGGACCTCCCCCCTGGAGGGTTAGTCCCTTCTACCCCGGGTGCAGTGCCTTGGGGAGCTCCCCCCCACACACACCCAGGTGAGAGGGACCTCACGCTGGAGGGGGGAGTCCCCTGTACCCAGGGACTTCCATCTTGCAGTGCATGCTCCCTGTTGACTTCTCAACTTTCAGGCTTACTGGCTTTCATGGTGCCAGCTGTCATGTGGCAGAGGCCCACCTTTAAAAAGGCCCAACCCTGCCAACAACCACCCAGAGAGCTTGGAGGTGGATCCTTCCCCAGTCGAGCCTTCAGATGAATACAGATCAGATCCTGGTTAAAAGCCTATGTGGCCCTGGGCGGTGACGCACACCTGTAATCCCAGCTACTCAGGAGGCCGAGGTAGGAGGATCCCATGATCAATGCCAGACTGGGCAACTTAGACTCTGTTTCAAAATAAAAAGGACTGGGGATGTAATTTAGTGGTGGAGTGTCCCTGGGTTCAATCCCTGGTACCATGAAAGAAAACAACAAACAAACAAAATTCTGAGATTTTTCTGCCTGACTCCAGGCAATCACAGAGGCTTCACAGGCAGGTCCCACAGGATCCCCTCCCACACCAGCCTGGTGTCTTGCAGCCTGTGGGGGGTCTTAAAGTCAAAGATTCAGGCCTCATGTCTGGTAATGCCCTCACCCATACTCATGTTCCTAGCCCAGGCCCTTCTTTTTGGGGTCTGTTGACCTGAGACCTGGGCAGGGATCCTTTGAGCACTACTGCAAGGACTCCTGCCTGAGCAGGTGGGGCCAACCCTGCGGACACTTGGCTCCTTTCTGACTCAGCACCCAGGGCTTTCCACCTGTAGCCTGTCCCCCATCACGGTGGTGAGTGCTAACTCTTTGGGCTGCTGCATTAACTGGCTGCTCACACACCTGACAGACCCTGTCCCAGCTCAACTGAAATGAACCCTCAGCCTGGGCCCACACCTTGATGGCAGCCTCTGGAGAGACCCTGGGTTCATGGGGGGCCTAGCTCTGTCATGCCCAAACTACTTAATCCACAGAAATTATAAAATAATAGATCTGTGTTGTTTTAGGCAAGGTTGTGGCATTTTGTTTTACAGCAAAAGGCACCGATAGCTTCCGGCCTGCGTGCATTCCCATTAGCAACCCCAGCGAAAGGAAGGCTTCTCCCTCCCCACAGCCCCAGCAGACATACATGACAGCCTGCCACCCATCCAGGCTGTGCCCTGTGGCCAGGGGATAATTCTGACCTGCCTGCGTCCTCGCCCACCCCAGGCTCCATAGGGTGTGAGAGGGGTGGCTCTCCAAAGGAAAATGAAGTGTACCTGCCAGGGTGAAGAGAAATAGAGGCAGAAAAAACAAAAGCAAAAGATCTCCTCTGCGACTAGCGACAGAGGGATATGCCTGTCCTCTCGGAGACCTTGTTAATCAGTTGAAGAGAGCAATATTCAAGTCCCATAGCAGTTAAGTGTCTTGTACACAGCTAATATTAATTATATACATATTGCTCACTTAATTAAATCAGACTTCATCTCTGCTTATCAAAATGCAATGAGCTTACTAGAATTTTCTGCATACTCCAGATATTAAGAAACTGTGTTTATGAGAAAACACCAATTCATTTTGACTTCATTTTGACTTCCCAACTAGTTTGAATTGCCAAGGATTTGCTGTAATTAACATTTGTCCAAAAGTTCAAGGTAAGTAAACAAAAAGATTAGATAATAAGAGGGTACCAACCCAATTCCATGAGTTGAATCAAAGTCCTAGAAGAACAAATGTCACAGGTACAGAAATACAAATTTTTTGCATGTTAATCTGTTTTGCTGTCAGATGAACTGAATCGGGGTTGCTAGTCGCTGCACACACAGGAATGTATGGGGGGGTATTTGCATGTTTTGTGGTGGGAGGAGGGGTTCTGGGAGAAGGGGAGGAGATGCTTCAGTGAGGTACAGCGTCTTCATTCTCTTTACAGCCAGTGGAATGTAAAGTCATGGTGAAGGGGCTCACAGGAACCCCAGACTAACACTGCACCACGTCTTTCGCATAAGCCTGGGCCGAATGTTAGTGTGAAAGGTCATGGTTAAGTGCAGTCTCCCAAACTACTTACACTGTTTCTCTCCTCCCTGTCTCTCCCTCCAGCCCAAGGTGAATACAGTGGAATTCACATGAGTTATACATGTAGATGTTCCATTGTACAATAAGGAAAAAGAGGTCCAAAATAGTCGACAGCTGGAATAGTTTAGCAGAGGGAACACTTGCTTATATACAGGCAAAGAAAGTTCTCTTTAGTTTAGAATCAGATATTAACATCCCCAGTAGGCAGGGTAGCTCAGAGGTACAGTGCTTGCATGAGCCCCTGGGTTTAACCCTAGCACTGCAAAGTGAAAAATTATAAAAATTAAAAATTTAGTAGCAACACTGGAAAGTGAAAATAAACAGGTATAATTGATTTTATTTTAATTATTTTACTGTACCGGTGATAGAACCTGGGCCTCATGCCTGCTAGGCAAGTGCTCTACCATTTGGCTATATCTCGAGTCCTTTATAAACTTTTTAAATTTTGAGGCAGGGTCTTGCTAAGTTGCCCAGGCTGACCTCCAACTTGTAATCCTCCTGCCTCAGCCTCCTGAGTTGCCAAGATTACAGGTGTGTTCCACCATATACACCTGCAATTAATTTTAATAATATTTTTGTTTAACACCATATTTCCAAAATATTATCATTTCTACCATGTAATCAATTTCAAGTTGGAGCGATTTCAAGGGTGTGTCCAGGATGTGGGGAGAGACCCAGCTCACACAGCTGAGGAATGAAGTCTTTTGAGGGGCCATTGGCAGGACTTACTGAAATTTCACAATGCTTGCCTTTTACCCAGTTATACTTGTTTTGAGAATGTGTCTTTGTGATATTGTGAAATGTATATTTGGTCTTCGTCCCATTTCCTGGCACACAAATCCTAAATTCCTTTGGGTACCCAGAGTGACAAGTGGTTTTTCTTTTTCTTTTTCTTTTTTTTTTTTTTTTTTGATGTTACCGAGTTGTCTGATGGCTGGCTGCCCCTAGGGAGCTTCAGGATGGGGGTTGTCCCTGGGAAGACCAAGTCAGGGTCAGAGTCATCAGGACCTTCATCTCAGCTACCCAGGGAAGGGAGAGGGGCGTAGATGATGATTTAGCTAATCATTATGGAATGTAAGCTTATGTAATGAAGCCTCCATAACAAACCAGACGGGACAGGGTTCACAGAGCAGGTGGTAGCTGAGCCCAGGGTTCCTGCAGGATGGCATGCCCAGAGGGCGGCAGCTTGGCACCCCGCCCCACAAGCCTTGCCCCCAGCATCTCTTCTTCTGGTGTTTGCTGGTATCCTTTGCAGAATCTCCTCTCTCATAAACTGTAACATTTAACGAAACTCTTCTCCAAGGTCCGTGAGCCACTCTAGCAAACCCAGGGCACCCGAGGAGGGAGCTGTGGGAAGGAAGCTCCACTGACGGCCACATGGTCAGAAGCCCAGGGACAGCAACCTGGGGCATGCCATTGGCGTCAGAAGCAGAGGGACAGTCTTGGGGACTGAGCCCCCAACCTATGGGATCTGACACTGTCTCCAGAATTACAGGAGTTAGAGGTCACCCAGCAGGTGTCTGCCCAAAGCTGCTTGCTTGCCGGCTTGTGGGGCGGGAGATGGGATGGGTATTCTGAAAAAATAGGGGATGCACAAAGAAACAGGAAGGTGGACCCCTCTGGCAGTGGGTTCTCCCCACTCCCGGGGCTCATTGCTCTGTTCTGTGTTAGCTGATGAAGGACAGACCTCTGCGGCCACCCGTGACAGACAGCATAGACTACTGAACTAGTTTAGAACAGTCACCAAACAACTCTATAGCAAAAGCAACAAGCCCCTGGGAGTGGCGGGAACCTGATGGCCAGAGTTGTTACATCATCATCATCACCATCATCATCATTATTAAAAATGTCCACTTTAAAAATATTAGGAGATATGAAAAAAAAAGTAGGGATCATACACAGGAAAATTCAACAGATATAAACTGTCTCTGAGGAAGCCCAGATGTTGGATTTACTCCACTTGAAGCCAGTTACTCTAATAAGGCCAAAGAACCAAAGAACCAAACCCAAGAAGCTCAACATCACCCAGCATCACGGAAACGCAGCTCAAAACCAGGTGAGAAGCACCTCGGGCCGTGAAGACAGTCACTCAAAAAATAAGCAGCAGCAAAAGAAAGTAAGAAACCTGGGGTCCAGGGTGTAGGGAAATGGGGGTCCTGCACCCCGGGGTGGGCCTGTGGGAGGGGCGGCTGCCTGGAGACAGTGTGGCTGTTCCTCAGCCAACTAGCCCAGCCGCCTCCACCCAGGAGCCTACTTCAGGACATATTCAAGAGAACTTCGAGCAGGATCCCAAAGGGCCATTCGGGTACCCATGGTCCTTCATGGTAACCAAGAGGTGGGAGCGACCCAGTCACCCGTTGACAGATGAGTAGATGAGAGTGGCCAACACAGACAGGACAGAGGGAAGGAGCCCTGTCCCGTGCCACCCTGTGGCCATACCGGGAGGCCATTAGGCTAAGTGAGATGCCCACCTGCCAAAAGACAAGTGAGTAAGACCCCACTTACATGAAGTATCTAAAGTACTCAAATTAATAGAAACAGAAAGTCCAACGGGGCCACGGGGGAGAAGTGGGGAGTTGTTCAGTAGGGTTCAGAGCTGCAAGACAAAAAGTTTCCGGGTCTGTAGCACACTTTATTGAACCACACACTTAAAAACAGTTGAATTTGTTGCTTTGTATTTTTACTACAACTTAATCATGGTGTGTGTGTGTGTGTGTGTGTGTGTGTGTGTGTGTGTTGAAAGGGGTTTAACCCAGGCAGACTCTACCATCTGAACTACCTCTGACTCTACCTCTTCCCAGCCCTGTTTTTTATTTTATTTTGAGGGCTTAAGATGCTGGAGCTGGCTTTGAACTTGTGATCCTCCTGCTTCAGTCTCCTAAGTTGCTGGAATTACAGGCGTGTGCCTCCGCACCAGGTCCATTTAAAGCTTTGAATAAAACAAAGGTGGGCTGGGGATGTGGCTCAAGCGGTAGCCCGCTCGCCTGGCATGCGCGGGACGCTGGGTTTGATCCTCAGCACCATATAAAAATAAAAATAAAGACGTTGTGCCCACTGAAAACTAAAATATAAATATTGAAAAATTCTCTCTCTCTCTCTCTCTCTCTCTCTCTCTTTAAAAAAAAAGAAGAAACAAAGGTAATGAAGTATTGGTGCTATCACAGCAGGGATGGATCTGGAAAACACCACGGTAAGCAAAGGAGGAAGGTACAGAATACCTCAGGGCCTGACACAGGCGATCCACAGAGGCTGCTGTGGGTCAGCGGTTGTCAGGGGCTGGGTTGGGGGATGAGGAGTAACCACAGGCAGTGTTTCAGTGTGGGTAGGGGGTTAAAATTCTGAAATTAGAGAGTGGTCCTGGTTACACAAAATATACAAAACCTCACCAAATTGTACACTTCAAGAGGGCTTTTTAAAAAGCACATCGCTTAACAATAGGAACAACAGGGGACCAGGGTGCATTGCTATAAAAAGAATAAGACTGGCTGCTCCCTGGTCCCTGGCTCCTGTCCCACTGTGTGATCTCCCCCTCAGGATGCCATCTGCCATGCTGGGACACAGCCAAAGTGGCCCTCAACAGAGACCACGTAGATGGGGGCCACCCAATCTTGGACTTTCACCCTCCCAAACTGTAAGCTAAATAAACCTCTTTGGGAGGTTAGAGTTGTAACTCAGTGGCAGAGCACTTGCCTAGCATTCACAAGCTCCTGGACTCCATCCCCAGCACCACAAAAGAATAAAAATAAAAGTTTTTTCTTTATAAAGTATCCAGCCTCAGGTATTGTGTTATACAAATGGAAAAACAAACTAGTATAGTGTATGACCTCATTTATGATTTTTAAAAAAGCTATGTGTTTATGTGCCATGTACAATACAAATGCATGAAAATGTATATCTGGAAAGATAAATATCAAATAATAATTTTTAAAATATCTTTTTAAAATTAGTTGTTGATGGACTTATTTATTTACATGTGGTGCTAAGAATCAAACCCTGTGCCTTGCACATGCTAGGCAAGCACTCTACCACTTGAGCCACAACTCCAACCCTAATAATAGTTTTTATTAGGGAGAGAGAAAGAATTTAGGAAGATTTATTATAGAGACTTTCACTTCCCACAAATAAATGGAATTTTTTTATTATTCTTTTAATAATAAATTTCCTTTCAAGACAATTAGCATAATTATATTTAGTTGAATAAGAAAAAGAGTTTTCTTTTTCTTGAGTTCCTTTATTTGAAAATTTGTTCTTTTTAGATATACATGACAGTAGAGTGGATTTTGACATACTATACATACCTGGAGTACAACCCATTCCAATGAGGATCCCATTCTTGTGGTTGTACATGAAGCGGAGTTTCACTGGTCATGTATTCATGTGTGAACATAGGAAAGTTATGTCCAATTCATTCTACTGTCTTTCCTTTTTCTGTCCACTCCTCCCAACAAAGTTTTAAAAGTTGAAGGGAAAAAGCAAGCAGATAATTAATAATTTTATGGAGATGTCCAGTAATTGACATATGAGGCGTAGGGGACAACTTATAAGGCAGCGTGCATATTCTACACCTGCAAGTGGCACAAGAGGCTTAGCATCCTACATGCTTTGTCCCCACCCTGTTCTGAGGTTAGGACCATAATTAGTTTCCCATTTTACACTTGAAGAAATGCAAAAAGATAAGTTGTCCAGGTCTCATGGCTAGAAATATAAATCCAAGCATATTTGATCCCAGGGTCCAGATCAGAGAAGACTAGAATGCAGTTGGGAAACAGCATGAGAAAGAGAAGAACTCACTAAGGAATAAGAGTTTAGGGCCAGAGCAGTGTAATCCTATCTAGGACACTGTATGAACTTAGGTGCAGACACCAGTAAAGCCGGCCCACGAAGGACAGGTGTAACCTAGTGTAGAGAAGACAAGCGACTCCTAGAGAGACCAGACGTCCTCTGGCAGGAGAGGCTGAACTGATTGCCAAGGAGATGGTTTCAGGCAAGACAGAACCAACCATCTGCAAGATGCTAGAGCTTTGTGAGCAAGAATCTCCAGATCAGAACCTCTCCTGAGTGCTACGGTTGGCATCCTTCCGGCTTCTGTTGGTCACAAAGCTCGGTTCACCAAGCATTCATGTGCCACGCCCAGGAGGCGCTGCGTCTTTGAGAGGACCCAGCAAGACAGATGAGATGAGAGATGTTATTTTGGGGGCTGGGGATGTGGCTCAGGCGGTAGCGCGCTCGCCTGGCATGCGTGCTGCCCGGGTTCGAGCCTCAGCACCACATACCAACAAAGATGGTTGTGTCCGCCGAGAACTGAAAAATAAACGTTGAAAAATTCTCTCTCTCTCTTTCTCTCGCTCACTCTCTCACTCTCTCACTCTCTCTTAAAAAAAAAAAAAAAAAAAAAAAAAGAGAACCCAGAAAAGGCAAGTGTCGCAGCCGTTTTCTGCAGGTGCTTATGGGAATGAAAAGAGAACGCCTGTCCCCTCCTGTGCACCAGGGAAGTCCTCTTGGCAAAGGTGATGAGCTTGAAGAATTGCTGGGAAGTCGCCAGCTGGAGGGAGTGGAGGAGCAGGGCTGGGGGTGCTGGGGCAGCAGGGACTGCTCAGCCACGAGTGCGCCCCTCGAGGGCACAGCCCATGCTCTTTCCCCCAGGTTACCCCAGCACCCGGCACCGTGGCTGGCACTCGGTAGGGGCCAGGGCTGCAGCGAAGACTACGGTAGGACCTGGGAGGAGGGGATGGACCTGAGGCCGGGGTGTGGGAGCTGACGGCGCGCACCTCACGAGAACCCTGGCAATGGACGAATCAGATGGAAAGTGAAATTCCACATCCTTGAGGTTTTGCCCTTTGGGGAGCCGTGGTTTGGAAGTGGTTGAGTGCGTCTCCCGAAGATCTGCTGCGTGGCAACTGGAGGCGGTGCAACCGTGGAGGGGCGGAGCCAGGTGGATAGTGCGGAGGGACCGAGCCAAGTGGACAGGGGCGCTGAGCCATAAAACAAAGTCCACCACGTCCAAGAAAGGGGCTAGGATGTGGCTCAGTGTTAGAGACCGGGCTTCTGTGATCATCCGGGCTCTAAAGTTGAATATATATTGCCAATAGGTAGGGACCTATTAACAAAGACCAGTTCTTGCTTGTCTCCTGCCAGCTGGGAACTTTTAGTGACCCCCCAGAAACTGAGGCTCAGAGAGGGAAGAATACTTTTCCCGAGGACTCACAGGTGTGCAAGGAAACCTGACAGCTAGGAGGACCTGCACCTGGGCTCCGTGCCTCGCCCTTAGGAGGAATGAACAAAAATGTGGATTGGGTGTTTTAACAAAGAAAGAACAGTCTGGGGCTGTTGGGGCGGGGGAGGTTGAGGGCTTTGAATCTCTGCTCCCCCAGAAGGCTCAGCAGGCATCCACCTGCCAATGTTCACCCACACACAAAGTTATGTCTTGAGTCCTCATGAGAAAATATTGAATTGTGTCCACTGTGCTGGGCTTAACCAACCAGGGAACCAACTATGTGATACATTTTAGAAACATCAGAACTTGAGCAAGTGACTGAGTCTTGGCTTTGCTCATGAGCTGTGACCTTGAGCAAGATGCTTAGCAACTCTGGGCTTGGTTTCCTTCTCTGGAAGGTGTTGGCTATTGATGGAACCAATCATCTCTAAAATTCTTTGAGGGGCTGGGGATGTGGCTCAAGCGATAGCGCGCTCGCCTGGCATGCGTGCGGCCTGGGTTCATCCTCAGCACCACATACAAACAAAGATGTTGTGTCCGCCGAGAACTGAAAGATAAATATTAAAAAATTCTCTCTCTCTCTCTCTCTCTCAAAAAAAAAAAAATTAAAATTCTTTGAATTCCCTCAAGTGTGGCCCCGCAGTCATCTCTAGGATGATCTTGGCTGTGGGACCTGGATTCCGTTCTGGATCGAGGGCGCCACCTGGTGACTCCAGTTTGTAAGTGAGTTTTTTTTTTTTTTTTCTTTTCCCACTTTGGGCTCAACCAATCAGGTTTATTTATCATTCCACTTTAGAGCTGCGAGGATTGGCTTTTGTTTTTAACTTCTTGAAATGTCTTTTAAAATGTTGCGACCACATGTATTTTTTCCAGGAGGAGGGCACATAGTTTTTAACCACGAAGTTCTTAATAGTCCCATCTTTAAACCAAGTTTAAGAAGCACCACGTTAAGCCAGGCATGGTGGTGCACGCCTGTAGTCCGAGCTATTTGGGAGGTTGAGATGGGAGCTTCTCTTGAGTTCACAAATTCGAGATAGGCCTGGGCAATGTAGAGAGACCCAGTCTCAAAAATGACAAACGAAACACCACTACTTTAGGCACGCGTTAGACCCACGGTCTGCAAGCTGCGATACTGTTCAGAAAGCGGTTTCATCTCTCTGAGCCTTGGTTTTCTCATCTGTACATGCAGACAAGAACAGCGCCTACTTCCGAGGTTTGCTGAAAAGATGGAAGAGCTCATCCACTGTGTCTGGCAAGAGCAAACGGTGTCGGTGTCTCCGCAATAAAATATCAAGAATGGAGTGATTTTTTTTAAAAAAAATATATTTTTTAAGTTGTGGATGGACTTTATTTTATTATTTATATATGGTGCTGGAAATCAAATCCAGTGCTTCACACATGCTAGGCAAGCGCTCTACCATTGAGCCACAGCCCTGGCCCCAAGAACAGAGTGATTTTTAATGATAAAAAGTTTCTGGGAGGCCTGGGAAGTGTGAGAACATAGTGGCAGCTTCTGGCTAGGATTGTCATACTGGGTCATCGCATGGTGAGACAGATCACTGCGTGAGTGTTGGGAGAAAAGGCACCAGGGAGACACTCTTTTTCTAACCACTGCTCCGGATAACTGACTCCCTCCAGAAGGACATTAATCTATTCACAAGGCTGGGACCCTCCTGACCTAAATGGCATCCATTATACCCCACCTCCTAACACTGCCAAGTCAGGAATCAATGTTCCAACCAATGGACTTCAGGGGACATTTCAAACTATAGTGTATGTTATAAGGGACTTTCTTAATTTTTTTAAATTTTTTTGCTACTGAGGATTGAACCCTGGGGGTGCTCCACCACTGAGTCTGCATCCCTTTTGATTTTTATTTTGAGACAGGATCTCACTAAATAGCTCAAGCTGGCCTCAAACTTGCAACCCTCCTTCCTCAGCCTCCTGAGGCGCTGGATTTATAGGTATATATCACCTTTCAGAACTCAAAATATTCCAGGAAGTCAACAATTGCTTGAAAAATCCAGGATGCAATTAGTTCCATTCCTCACCAGTGCGTCTCTACTAGTTTAGAAGACATGGTGGTTCATGCCTGCAATCCTAGGGATTTGGGAGGCCAAGAAAGGAGGGTTGCAAGTTTGAGGCCAGCCACAGTAACTTAGTGAGACCCTCAGCAACTTAGCAAGAACTTGTCTCAAACTGAAAAGGGCTGGGAATGTAGCTCAGTGGTAAAGTGTCCCTGGGTTCAATCCCTAGTACAAAAATAAATAAACAAACAAACAACAAACCAAGTTCTCTTGGATTGAGAATGTAATATTCTCAGAGTTGAATTAAGTTCAATACTCTTGTCTTTGAGAAACAGGATGGAACTTTTGCAAGGAACAGGGTAGAAACAGAACAGAAACAAACGATGACAGGGTTTTGAGACCCTATGCTATTGGGAATTCCTACCTGCACCCCCAAAGAGTGCTGAGAGCCACAGCTGAGTCGGAATGGCCCCTGGCATTTTTTCCAACACTTTCATAACTGTGGAGAAGATGGAATCTTAAAATACAATTGGAGTTTTATTCATCTGACAAGTGCATTGGTGATCTTAAGTTCTTACTGTCTCTTGCCCTTTGAGCTCTAAGGATTCCTATTACTAAATATGAAGAATATGGAACATTCACATGGCATCT